TGAAAAATATTTTCTCCAATTCAGCCCCTGATTGTGTGAAATCTGCCTATACTACACTGAGATCATATGTAGCATTTACAGCCCTGCTTGAGTTCTCCCATGCTGGACTACCCTTGCCACATGCATACATTTACTTTACAAGAAAAAAAAAACAATGCTGTTGCCGTTTACTCCCAAAAACATGTTCACACACTATGGGGTTGATTAACTAAATCTAGAAAGTGCACAATCTGGTGCAGCTCTGCTTCGAAAACTATCTGCTTCCATTATTTTTTGTTGTTTTTTTTTTTCGTCAAAGCTTAATTGAACAAGCTGAAGGTAGAAGCTGATTGGCTACCATACATAACTGAATCAGATTTTGCACCTTTAATTTTAGTAAATCAGTCCCATAGTGTGTGAACATATTCTTGGGAGTAAAAAGGCAACATCATTGTTTTTTTATTTGTGTGTAAAATAAATAAATAAAGGTTTGCATGTAGCAAGGGTTGGTAGCAGGGGCGGACTGGCAAATCATGGGGCCCCCGGGCAATAGGGGATCATGGGGTCCCTGTGTCCTCACCCAAACCCCAAAAAAGTCTATGAAAAAGCAAATGAAAGGTACCAGGGACATCTCATGGGGCCCTCTGCTGAGCCTGGGCCCTCGGGCAGTGCCCGAGTGCTCAAATGGTCAGTCCGCCCCTGGTTGGTAGTCCAGCTTGGGAGAACTCAAGCAGGGCTTTCAATGCTACATACTGTAGAATCAAAGTGTAGTACAGGCAGTGTTGTTGGCCTACCAGGAATGAAGAAGCTCACTAGATTTCTATCAGATCAAGGGATAAACAAATAATTTAAAAATGTGATCTTCAGGCATCAGAGAATGCCCCAGCAATAATTTATTTGTTTCACCTTGTTGCTTGTTTTTCAGTTTTAGTAAATCAACCCCTATGTGTAGGGGAAGGGCTTTTAGGGAACTAATAAAGGCTAATGTGGTGAATTCTGATGAACTTTACAATAAATTAGATGATGTCACAGGGAGAAATAAAAGTAAATTCTCACTGCAGAAACAAAGTAAAGGAAAAAAAATATTGCGTAACATGCGTAAAGAATATGTTCTCCCAACATTTCATATTCCTGATATGTGTCTGCTGTACCATGTACTTAAGTTAAAAAGTATCCTGTATTTCTTCCTTTGCATGGAATACCTGGTGATCCTGCCAGTCCCTTTGCTTTCCTATTTCTCCTCCCACACCTCTCCAAGCCCCTTATACAGCTGAGAACAGAGGTCATGTAGTCACTTACCTTGCACCCTCTAGTGTGCTACTAGGGTAGTGAAGGCAAATACTAGATAGGTTATGTCTCATGGTAACTGGGTGAGTCTGTGATTAGGTTTGGTTACTCCAGGGCAGGCTGGGTGGCTTAACAGGCTGGGACTCTATTGCCTCCACCCGGTTCTGGAAGACCATGTAAGCTTCCAGAAGCAAGTGGGTGGATGAGATGAAAACCTAATCTGCATGTTTATGGGAGTCTAACCAATCCCTGGTTTGGAGGCTCTGGTAGAGTGGTGACGCCAACCCATAAATATGGGAGAGTTGGGCTGGAAGGAGATTTGGGTGGAGAGATGGAGTGTTGTTGAGGAGGCTGTTGGTGACCTGGGAGGGGTCCTCTAGGCCGAGGGGAGCTGGGCTCCAGGCTGGGCTTGGGCTGGCTCGGTAGGATTCATTCAGAATCATGGTATGAACAGGATCCATGTCTGGGAGCAGTGGGAGCAAAGAAGATAGAGTGAGTACAGCAGCACACCCAGGGATTCACAAGGGGAAAGACTGTCATGTGTAGCAAGCTTTCAAAGGACAATGTTGTGCTCAGTCCTTTATCCTTGTCCTGGGAGATCATCAGAGCAGCCAGGAGGGCTGGTAGTGTCTTCAGGCTGTGGAGCTGGGAGCAGTTCTAAAGGGGAGAGGAGACATCTCTGCATGTAGTTGCAATAAGCTAAGCTAACTTTCAAAGGGGCTGGGAGTCCTAGCCTGTAAGCAGCAGTTGCTACTGACCCGCAATACCTGACTGCTTTCAAGGAAAATAACACTCCAGGATCTGTTTCTTTAAATAGTAAGGAAAATGTCCCTGTGCATTAATTCAGTCAAGTTGGGCATTCCATAACCCCTATTACCCTATTCCCTAATAAAAATAACAAAAACCAAGTTCATTGACTGTTCACTAACTGGATGGAAGTGTGGAAAATGTGTGATGACTGGCTGTGCGAAGTTTAGAGGGATCCAGAAACAAAGTGTCTCCCAAGAGAGTAGCTCTTCACTTATTAAAAAAAAAGGTGTTTATAATGATATATACACTGCTCAAAAAAATTAAAGGATCACTTTTTAATCAGAGTCTAGCATTAAGTCAGTTAAACTTCTGGGAAATTGATCTGGTCAGTTAAGCAGCAGAGGGAGTTGTTAATTTCAGCTGCTTTGGTGTTAATTAAATTAACAACAGGTACACTAGATGGGCAACAATGAGATAACCCCCAAAAAAGGAATTGTTTTACAGGTGGAAGCAACTGACATTTTCCTCTCTACTCATCTTTTCTTACTGATTTTCACTACCTTTGCATTTGGCTAGGGTCAGTGTCACTACTGGTAGCATGAGGCAATACCTGGACACTACAGAGGTTGCACAGGCAGTCCAACTCCTCCAGGATGGAACATCAATACGTGCCATTGCCATTGAGATTCCAGGAGACAGGCAGTTACTCTAGGAGAGCTGGACAGGGCCGTAGAAGGTCCTTAACCCATCAGCAGGGCCAATATCTGCTCCTTTGTGCAAGGAGGAACAGGAAAAGCACTGCCAGAACCCTACAAAATGACCTCCAGCAGGCCACTGGTATGAATGTCTCTGACCAAACAATCAGAAACAGACTTCATGAGGGTGGCCTGAGGAAATGATGTCCTCTAGTGGGCCCTCTGCTCACTGCCTGGCACCATAGAGCTCAATTGAACTCCAGAATTGGCAGGTCCGCCACTGGCACCTTGTGCTTTGGACGCCACCAAGTTGCACCTAAGACTGTCCAGGAGCTCAGTGATGCCCCGGTCCAGTTCTGAGAGGAAATACCCCAGGACACCATCCATTGTCTCATAAAAAGCATGCCCTGATGTTGTCAGGCATGCATGCAAGCACGTGGGGGCCATACAAACTACTGAGCACCATTTTGAGTTGCTGCAATGAAATTTCAGCAAAATGGGCTAGCCTGCTGCATCTTTTTTTCACTTTGATTTTCAGGGTGTCTTTGAATTCAGTCCTCTGTAGGTGGATAATTTTCATTTCCATCAAACAATGAGGCATCCTTATGTACCTAACTTATTACCCAGTCCATATCAGTATAGATATCCAGCATGATATTTTTTCTCATTGGGATCTGATGTGTTTTCAAAGTGTTCCTTTTATTTTTTTGAGCAGTGTATATATATATAATATATATATATATATATATATGAATATATATATAAATATATATATATATGCAAATGTTTTACCTTTTATTTCTATTTTAAACTGAATGGGTTATTTTACAAGGCAAGGGTTCACATACACAGGTACTTTGAGAGTGGCACTGGAAGTTGTGGGGTACATTTTTTTAAACATGCACTTAAATTAACTATGTAAAGATGCTATATGGTAAATGTGTAATCAAATTTCATTAATTTAGAAAAGCTGCAGCAAATAGTATATTAGCAAATCATCTTTCATGCTTGCAAGGAGTATTATGCTAAGAATGTGAAAATTCTGTATACAGTTGTAAATTACTGTTACAGTAGGTGTTCCATGGCTACTGCAAACAGTAAATATAATTTTTTTTTTTAGTATATTTATTTTCTTGTCATAAAATGGAATGCTAAAGCACCCATCCGATAGCTCCCTTGTTTAAATTCGGGTCAAAATGACAAGTTTTGGCTCCCGGCTGCAACACACCCAGTATAATTGTGAAAGTTATATCATCTTGGTACTAGGAAAGCTCCCTTCTAAAAATATAATCTTTGCCACCGTGCCATAAAAAATAATTATGTACAAAGAGGACATTTTTTAAAGCAATGAATAATTATTTCATAGATAAGGCAGGAAGATATTTAAAAAAAACTTCATAACTCAGACCTATACAGTGCAACTCTAAGTATATAAACCTTTTATAGCCAGTTTTAGATAAAGAACAAACCTCATAAAAAGAGTGCATCTGAAGTTATATTGCAAGTTCAAACTACCCAGGTTAGGCTATTTACAGGTCAACGGATGCTGTAGAAAATGACAACAATCTTACTGCAGCTATTGTTTTGGATTCAAGGCTTCTGATATAAGAAAATATAGTGCTTTATACAAGATAAAGATCTTTATTTGGGTCATGTGACCGTAATTTTCAAATCTTGTTGGTTTCAGATGAAAATAAAAGTCACTTTTTGAAAATAAGTATCTTTATAGTGGTGTTTTAAAATTCAGTTGAGCCTATTATAATTTATTTTGCTTGTAGATCATAGGATATATAACTTTTAGATATGTTAATACGACAATGTAAAAAAAAAGCTTTGTTTATAACCATATACCTTGTATACAGTCTGTTCTTTGTTTATCAGTGTTTCTTAGACATTCAGTTTTCACCCACAATAACCAAGCAGACTGGAAAATGTAAGATGGAAAGTGACATTTTTAATTGGATCATGTGCTTTTATGCAATACAGATTTCTTAACCACTAGCCTACAGGGCACTTATACCCCCTTCCTGCCCAGGCCAATTTCCAGCTTTCAGCGCTGTCACACTTTGAATGACAATTGCGCGGCCATGCAACATTGTACCCATATGACATTTTTATCATTTTTTTTGAGACAGATAGAGCTTTCTTTTGGTGGTATTTAATCACCTCTGGGATTTTTATTTTTTCCTTAACAAACCAAAAACCACTGAAAATTTTGAAAAAAAAAAAACGTTTTTTCTTAGTTTTTGTTATACAATTTTGTAAATAAGTGATTTTTCTCCTTCACTGATGAGCGCTAATGAGGCTGCAGTGATGGGCACTGAAATGCTGCACTGATGGACACTGATAGGTGGCACTGATGGGCACTGATGAGGAGGCACTGCTAGGTTGCACTGATAGGCATTGACAGGTATCACTGATGGGCACTGAAAGGCAGCACTGATACGTGACACTGATATATGACACTGATATATGACACTGATAGGTGGCACTGATAGGCAGCACTGATAGGCGACACTGACTGGCACTGTTAGGCAGCACTGACTGGCACTGTTAGGTGGCACTGACTGGTACTGATAGGCAGCACTGATAGGCGACACTGACTGGCACTGATAAGTGGCACTGATTGGCAGCACTGATAGGTGGCACTGATTGGCATTGATAGGTGGCACTGACTGGCACTGATGGGTGACATTGAAAGGCAGCTCAGATGGGCACTGATATGTGGCATTGATGTGCACTGGTATGCACTGATATGTGGCATTGATGTGGCACTGATGGGCACTGGCACATGGCACTGATGGGCACTGGCACTGATGAGCACTGACAGGTGGCACTTCTGGGGCCACACTGATCATCAGGGCACACTGATTATCAGTGCCCTGATGATTAATGTACATGTCCCCTCCGCGGAAAGCCGATTACCGGCTCTCCTCTCGAGCTGTCAGCGTGACAGCTCGAGAGGAGAGAAATGCCGATAACCGGCATTTCCGTGTTTACATGTGATCAGCTGTGATTGGACACAGCTGATCACATGACTGAGCCGACGTGTTCGGCTCTTTCCGTGATCCGCTGAGTCCGAGGGACACAGCGGACCGGCGATCGCCGCGCTGCACGCTCCCTGAGCCGCGCATGCGCAGTGAGAATGGCGTCCTATAACGTCCTATCAGAACAAGAGAACCCACCTTGCGCCCGTCATTGTACTATAGGGCGGGTGGAAGGTGGTTAAAACTGATCCCTCATAGTCATTCTGACTATGAGTGACCAGCATTTGGCAGATCTTCCATCATATCTAAAGCTTGATATTTTCATCCTGTTTACCTTCGAGCATTTTTATATTAGGTTATAAAATTAAATATACAGCAAGAGGCATATTTACAAAACAGTGAGTCTGACATTCACTAGGCATTCACTGCAGGTGAATCAGTCTAATTCCAGGTGTTTTTAAATGACAGTTAATTTCTGATGAAAGTCACATCACTGCTATAAACATGCCAGTGAGAGTCTACTTTGCCCCTATCACGGATGCTCATAAATTACATGTTGTTTTGTATCCTTTGCCACTCCAAGCCTATTTCAAATCCAGCATATACACATAGAAATTAATGTTATAGTTTAACATTGGGGCCCATTTACCCAAGTTTGCTGCTTTACCTCAACACACATTACATGTTTTGACATTTTGTGGTGCCATTCTTTGTTCTTAGGAACCCAGTACACCTTCCTAAAGCAGCACATTACAGCACACTATAACATGTAATAACAAAGCAGATTGTGTTGTGTCTCTGGTGCTGTTTAAAAAAAAATTACTAGTCTTCAGCTTTAACAGGACTACAGCAGCACACATGGTAGGAAACGATGGGGTCCAGCCCCTCCTATAGCCATAGTTGTAGTTATATTTGTATAGGATGGAATAGATTGAACCTTTTCACATCCTTCATTGAAATACCTGAGCTCTGCCCAGATACAGAAATTTTGTGCTTAAATAATTCATATCATATGAGAAATCCCACTTATAGTATTTGGATTACCATCCTGTTTCAAGCATAGCTACTAACAACCTACCAGACAAAAACATGCTCTGTATAGCTTTATGCCTGAAAATTCCATTGTTTGTACTTGGTTAAAGCTAGACAAATGCCTGAAAACTGTAACCCCTTCTAACAAGTGATGTACATTATGATTTACAACAATAGCCACTATTGTAAACATTTTTCTTTTTTGGCACAATTGAAAAGCGGATTATTCAACAAATCACTTTTTATATGTATATTTTAATGTATGAAAAGAAAAATCCATTGTTGCCAAGCGTAGGATTGAAATTCTAAAAAGTCTGAATCATTTTGAGAGTCTTTATTTTTTCCTCTATACAAATTTGTGTCAGATGTTTGCATAATGATTCACTGGAAGCATTTTCATGCAGAGAAAGATAATATGCAGACATGAGTTAACCTCCCCCCTTGTACATAAGTATAAAAATAAACAACAAAAAAGCATTGAAGGAAGCCAAGAGACAAATGCATGTAACACTGTATAACAATGAGAACATTTTTATATTATAAATATTACGGATTTGTTTAATTGTAAATACTTGTTAAAAAAATTCTTAGAAATAAGGAAGATAGTGTATTTATAGATACTGTAACATGCAATAGCAAGTGTTGCAGAGAAGGCAACTGCTCCTGGGTCACCATCAAAAACAAAAGGCTCCCTATGACATCATGTCTCAGGACCTTTACCTACTACTATATGGTTTGGTATTAGGGTAAATACCATCATATAGCTTATTTGTGTTCACATTTTTTAACACAATTACAAGCTCTGTGAATTTGATATATCTACAACCATTATGCATCAAATTCCACTTCAAACACAAGACGCATCATCACAATGAAGATTCATACCTCTTTGTTTAATTAGAGTTATCTTTTTCTATTGACCTAAAAAATCAGATTACTAAATTGTCAAACTGGGAGTCTCTATAAATTTAGTTTGCTAACTGAAAACCTTCCACCTTACGATCAGTTTCTTCCCTGGTCATTTGGTCTACCACTCACTGCACCTTACTTTTTCTTTGCATGGATGGAGAGGTACCATCCCGATTTAAGCACACTGATTACAAGGGTATTGCCTTATTACCCTGATTTCAGTTGGCTTTTTTTTTACTAAAAATAAAATCATTGTACCATGATAGGTTGCCACCTGTTCAATAAGTCCATCCGTGAAATTTCCCTGTTACTAAATATCCCATGGTCAGCTGTTAGTGGTATTATAACAAAGTGGAAGAAACTGGGAACAACAGCAACTCAGCCACGAAGTGGTAGGCCTCATAAAATGACAGAGCGGGGTCAGCATATGCTGAAGCGTACAGTGCACAGAAGTTATCAGCTGTCTACAAAGTCAATAGCTAAGACCTCCAAACGTCATGTGGCCCTCAGGTTAGCACAACAGTGCATAGAGAGCTTTGTGGAATGGGTTTCCATGGCCGAGCAGCTGCATCCAAGCCTTACATCACCAAGTGCAATGCAAAGCATCAGATACAGGGGTGTAAAGCACACTGGATTCCAGAGCAGTGGAGATATGTTCTCTGGAGTGACAAATCACACTTCTCTGTCTGGCAATCCAATGGATGTGTCTGGGTTTAGCAGTTGCTAGGAGAACGGTACTTACCTGACTGCATTGTGCTAAGTGTAAAGTTTGGTGGAGGGGGGATTATGGTTTGGGGTTGTTTTTCAGGGTTTGGGCTTGGTCCCTTTAAATAAAAGTAATAATCCCCCTGTGCTCCACTGGTATTATTATAAACAATAAATGTTTTATGCAAGCTGCTACCACCTTTTCCTTATACCTGAGGATACACAATAATAATATAATGATGGTGAAGCGCTACACATAAATAATAATCAGTGTGTATAATACACCCACAATGCTATATATCCACATGTATTAATGGATCACAGAAAAAGGAAATAATATATAGACAAAGCATGCATAGATATATAATATAACACTCTGGCTGGTGCTTTTAGATCATGCTTATAATAATGGATACCTGGTGATAAAGTGCAAGAAGGTCGGTCAATAAATGACCTATATAAAATGTGCCAAAAGGGAACCCTCAATGGGGTAAGACGGATAAGAAAATAAATATATCACACTCTATTGTAAAGTGACAAGTGCTCAGGCTGCAGACACAATGAATATATGCATCTATACAACTAAGTGGTAGATCAAAAGTCCACAATTATGTGCAAATAAATCGTGCATAAAGATTGATGTGCAAAATAAGCAATAGTAGTGCTTAAATTTTTCACTCCAAACATGATGTGTGCTTGTGTGACACATGTGTGTATCACTATCCCAAAATGGCTAGAGTGCCTCCTCACCTCCTTGAGGCGACCCCTAAGGGCCACAACATTTTGAACAATAAGTGCTCCATAGCACTGGGGATCACAGATAACTGGCTCCTACGGTTCCACTCGACATTCACTGACCGATCGGTTTTCTCCTTAGGTGATGGTCACAGTATCAGGAATATTGTAAGGCCATAGAGAGGTAGACAAAGAGAGCCTCCATAGTGTAGTACGATTTATTTAAATAGCAGATAAGTAAGCCAAATGGACACTCACAGTTAGGCAGATCCAATCCAGGGGTTTCCCTTGTGCTGTGGGTGTACTGCAGGTCCCTGGGTGTCCAAAGATGGCATCTACCGGAAGTGTGTCTACTGGAAATGCGTCATCGTGCTCTACGTGTTACTCCACGATACCACGTGTGTCACACAAGCACGATCCTGACGAAGCCACGTGGTATTGTGGAGTAACGCGTAGAGCACGGTGACGCACTTCCGGTAGACGCTATCTGCTATTTAAATAAATTGTACTACACTATGGAGGCTCTCTTTGTCTACCTCTCTATGGCCTTACAATATTCCTGATACCGTGACCATTACCTGAGGAGAAAACCGATCGGTCAGTGGATGTTGAGTGGAACCGTAGGAGCCAGCTATCTGTGATCTCCAGTGCTGTGGGGCACTTAATGTTCAAAGTGTTGTGGCCCTTAGGGGTCGCCTCAAGGAGGTGAGGAGGCACTGTAGCTATTTTGGGATAGTGATACACACGTGTGTCACACAAGCACGCATCATGTTTGGAGTGAAAAATTGAAGCACTACTATTGCCTATTTTGCACATCAATCTTTATGCACAATTTATTTGCACGTAATTGTGGACTTTTGATCTACCACTTTGTTGTATAGATGCATATACTCATTGTGTCTGCAGCCTGAGCACTTGTCACTTTACAATAGAATGTGATATATTTATCTTCTTATCCGTCTTACCCCATTGAGGATTCCCTTTTGGCACATTTTATATAGGTCATTTATTGACCGACTTTCTTGCACTTTATCACCAGGTATCCATTATTATAAGCATGATCTGAAAGCACCAGCCAGAGTGTTATATTATATATCTATGGATGCTTTGTCTATATATTATTTCCTTTTTTTGTGATCCATTAATACATGTAGCTATATAGCATCGTGGGTGTATTATACACACTGATTATTATTTATGTGTAGGGCTTGGTCCCTTAGTTCCAGTGAAGGGAACTCTTAAAGCGTCAGCATACCAAGACATTTTGGACAATTTCATGCTCCCAACTTTGTGGGAACAGTTTGGGGATGGTCTTTTCCTATTCCAACATAACTGCTCACCAGTGCACAAAGAAAGCTCCATAAAGACATGGATGAGCGAGTTTGGGGTGGAGGAACTTGACTTGCCTGTACAGAGTCCTGACCTTCAACCGATAGAACACCTTTGGGATGAATTAGAGCAGAGAGTGTGAGCCAAGCCTTCTCGTCCTACATCAGTGCCTGACTTCACGAATGAATTTCTGGAAGAATTGTTAAACATTCCCATAGACACACTCCTAAACCTTGTGGGCAACCTTCCCAGAAGAGTTTAAATTGCTATAGCTGCAAAGGTGGGGCCAACTCAATATTATACTTAGTGGAAAGGCCACTTGCTTTTTTTTTTCAAAGCAAAGCA